CCCGGATAGACTGAACGGACCCACAAGTTAGGGTGGTTCAAGCTATGCCCGTGATAATATAAAAAGGTAGAGAGTCGGTATAAAAATTATGTATTAAACATGACTAAGGAAAGATTGGATGTCTCCCTAGCCCGTGGTAATATAAAGAGGCAGAGAGTCGGTATACGAATTGTTTATTAACATGACTACAACAAGATTGGATGTCTCCTTAAGTTGGGTAAGTCCAATCATCTGCCTATAAGATATAAAAATTATAAAGTTGTTACAAATATTTTTGATTGTTTAAACTATTTTTACGGAGGCTAAGTGTACCCCTAAGTTGGAGCGATTTAGTTATACGTCATATGTAATTGTGTTTAGCCGGATTGGACATACCCATAAGTTTGGGCGGTTTGATCTCATTGCCTTATGTATTTCAAACTGTTAGGCTAACTTGACGTGCCCATAAGTTGGGGCGGTAGGGTCATATGCCCTGTTTCGTTGATGTTATGCGGGTTTGACATACCCTTAAGTTAGAGCGGTTCTGAACATTCATCGTTGGTGACTACTTAGGCAGGTTAGACATATCCCTAAGTTGGGACAGTCTAATCCTATGTCGTATATTATTTTTGTTTAAGGTTGACTAGGCATGCCCCTAAGTCGGGGCAGTCTAGTCTTATGCTTCATGTCGTCAGTTAAGTAAAAGTCGGGCGTACCCCTAAGTTGGGTCGGTTTGGTCACATATTTTATGTCTATGTTTTATGTTGGCAGGCGTACCCCTAAGTTGGGTCGGTCTGGTCATACGTTTTCTATCATGTAAGTTGGGCATACCCCAAAGTTGGGGCAATCTAGTCGTGCGTATCCTATGTTGTTATTTAGGCGGGTCAAACGTACCCCTAAGTTGGGGCGGTCAGATCTTTTGTCATAGGGAAGGGGTATAAAAGAGGGTTAAGAGAATTGAGAGACCAACAAAGTATTTTGTTAAAGCAAATATAAAATGGTGAGTGATTTGGTTGTGTTTGTTTGATTGGGTCACTCGTTTGGATGCGTCTCTTGATAGCTTAGTTACTTAGATGCTCGTCGAGTGTTGGAGTCATAGACGAACTATAATGCATGATTGGAAGGAAGTTTGAGATAAGATAAGACCGACCTTACTCAGGGTTAGGACTGGTGCTAACTCACGATACCATTTTCAAAGAAGGATCGTGCAGACTATCTTTTGTTCTAACTGTCAGGTAAGTGTCAGAAGTTTGTCCCGGGTATAGTTATACCTTGTTTTTGCATTTTTAACTTTTTATAGATCTTGACAATCTCTTTTTCCTAATGGAAGTGTTGCTCAAATTTTTAAAAATATAAAAGAATTTGTAATTTTTAGGTTCATAAAAAAATATTTTTCTTACGGAAAACACTGTTAATTTTTTTTGAAATTTAGAGGCGTTAGTTAAAATCTAGACTATCAAATTTTGACGATCTACCTTGTCTAGAGAATATGTTGGCAAAATTTTCAGCAATTTATGAAATTGATTAGACATAGGTGAGAAAAATGTTAGTGGAGAGGTTAGGCTACGATATGGAGTGTGTTTGCTATTCATTTTAAACGTAGCATTGGTCTTCTTGACTTATATGGTGATGCTGGTCTATGCATCGATTGAAGACTCGATTTGTTAGGCGGATCCTACAAAGGATCACTTTTGTGTTATCATTTGATAAAAAGTCAGTTTACGATACAACTTACCTACGTCTGCATCTCAATCTAAAGTTATAACCCCTATGGGGTTTGTATGTTTTTTAGGTTTTCACCCAGACTTCTTTCTAAATGGGAATTTTTCAGGATTGAGTATCTTTGTTGTAGGATGATGAAAAAAGGTTGGAGCTCGTATGCGTAAGGCGTGGTGTAAGTCGCAGGGAACAGTAAAGTTAACCCCCTTAGTGTGTGAGATGTTGTTGTTCAAATTTTGTGTGATCGCATGTATGAGTGGAAAATGATGAATTGAGTCTTGGTGATTGTTTGTGTATTGGGTGAATGTTGATAGACAAACCTCATCAATATATGTGAGAGTGATTGTCTGATGCTACACAACCTGTTTGTCTGAGTGATTGAATCAATTTATTTTTGCGTAGTCACTATGGCTAAGGGCACACACGTATACACATACGCTCGATACCATAATGATGCGCATGCTTATCATTTTTATTAAAATTAATTGTCGGACGTGGTCCTGAACCTTAAATTTGAGGTTCTTGTCCATGACATTCTAGGTTAGAGTTCAACATAAAAACGTTTCCCCTATGCGCTAAACATTTGTGCTTTGCCCATCGTAGCGCTCTGCCTAAGGGTCAGAGGCGTCGTGAGGGATGAAAGACTCATACTTTGTGAAGGAAACTTTCTTCACAATACGTTGTTTATGACACTCAAGTGTCATGCGCAACACTGAAGCCCGCGAAGGGTTGCGCGACTGTAGGTAACACATAAAGCGTCGCCATTATAGTCAATTGCGTGAGTACACATAACTGTATGTTGTGGTTTTATTCACGTCTACATTCCTTTAAAGTATTTTTGTGCAAACTGGATGAAAAATTATAACACAGAATAAGTTATGGATCGGAACATTTGCAAAATTGACGAGGCGCGATTTGCACACGAACTTGTATTTTCATTGAGAAGTGTATCGCACGGTTAGATTAGTCGTTCTAGTGGACCGGTGTAGGATCGCGCTTTAGAGATCAGCGCCTCAAGCGATGGCTCGCACACGGGTCCTATTCGGGCGTTAGCTGCACGTACCCCCTATGCTACAACAAACAAGAAATACCCTCGGTTGGGCGACCTCTGCAATCGCATACGAAAAACTTTCTTACGTGGTTCGGTAGCTCGACGGGATACGCCCACCTAAGGGATGGTGACAACTCCCCCAGGTGGAGATAAGTTGTGCCTCGCGTGGCCCTATCCTATGGTAGGGGTTCCTGAGAGGTACGACTGACACACTCGGCCGGAGCAGCAACACTTTGCGAGAAGTCCTGCAAAATCTTGTGTGACGTGGCCGGAAGGGTCCCCCTGTGGGACCGAGGCGCTTGACAGGGGTGCATATTTAGAATGTAAAAAATGGGAGGTGGCTTTTTTCCATTTCCAACAAGCTGCAAACTCGCAACTCTACGTTTGGACCACCCCTCATGTGTGGATATCCCAGGCTGCATCGGACATCGCAGGTGCAGCCGCGCATTTTCGTGTAGAAATGGCCACGTCAACCATATTAGGACCGCGATGCCGAAAATCCTGAAAATCTTTAAGGACTCGTCCTTGGCCCTGTAAGCGTGCTCCGGCAATGAAGCTTTCCTGAAAAAGAAAAAAGAAAAAATGGCTTGCCTAGGAGGGTCTAATGATACCCTTAGGGCAGAAACTCCATCATTGTCTTACCTGTAGATTTGCCCTCCTCCACACATGGGCCATCGGCCCGTCACCGCAACTTTTGGAGGCCCGAAATGCGACAACGGTCACCGATAAAATTTATGAAGGGCGGTTAGGCCCCAAAAGTTGCGGCCACATCTCTGAAAAATAGGTGGGAAAGGTACTGGTGGGGCACCAATGGATCACAATTTGCCACTAGAGGGCCCTGCATTTAGCTGGGCGGAGGGAGGCATACTTGAAACAATCAACTCTCTAATTCTGTCAGTGGGTATGTTGATGTGCTTATCCCATCTATCTCCATAATGACTGACTTTTTCTTTCTCAGCAGCCTGAAGCCCATTTTAGGCATGATTCTATGCTTGTAGGTCCTCCACTGCCGTCCCACTGAGCCAATGAACGAATGGCAATTTTCGAAGGCAACTTTCCCACGTTTTCACTCGCCTTCTCTGATGTGAATCATAATGAGGGAAGAACATAAAACGCACAACACTGAGTTGCCCTTATTCCTCATATTCCAAGTACCACCTCTCATGATTCGTCATAGTAGTACGCCCTTGCACTGCCACTCGTGCTGAAGTGAGGCACCTATCGGGCCAGGAGATTTAGCCCCGGTAAAAGTCCTAACTCCCTTTTCCCCATATATCTGTCTGATAACTTGTATGCGTTACTGAATCGCAATCCGAGTGCTGCCCCAATAAATGAGCCTCCCCCAAAACTCGCCTCGTAAAGGGGGTGTGGTAGGCAGTATAATATAACGAAATGATGATATAGAGCAGAGAGACGCCAAGAAGCGAAGGACCCTACCAGTAGGTTGGGCATGGTGCAAGCAATCCGACCGGCTCCTCGTGCGCAGCGATGGTGAGGCGACTGACAGCGGCGCACGTCACTTCGCGCCAGGGGCAGTGATTTGTTCCCCGCTGGTGGTCACTCGCGGTGCGCACTTTCGTACGGTCGTCGGGGGAGTTGGCTGCCCGAGGGGCCTTCTTAAGGCCTCGGTTGCTCTTCCGCCGCTCATCGTGTTTTCTCGCGGGCGCCGAGGACCGTACGAAAATGCGGACCAGCGATGCTACTGTTTCCGGGAGAGCGGACGCGCGAGCAGGTGGTGGTGCTTGGAGCTCCGCGCCTCCGGTTGTGCCATGTGGCCAATCTCTCGCCGTAGTTCTATCGAGGCCTTGTCGACGTAGAAACCTCAAAGGCGCGCCCTGCACACTCAAAGCAGCACGCCTCGCGCTTCTCTGGGGCGCGTCTTGGGCTCGTGTGCGCTGACCGAATCGCACTCACTCAATTGTAGTAGAGGGGCGTCAGCAGGCGGCAATCGCAGACTGGCGGCGGTTGAACGGCGTGGGTTGCACCAGCGTCCTGGCCGCGCTTCGTGCGCGTCGTCTTGTGTCTCGTTGGCCCGTTGCGCGCCCTCGGCCGGCCGGGTAATTACCCAGGAATCGAGCGGGCGGCTGAGTGGCGTGGTAGAGTAGACGGTTAGCGCGCGGCAGAGACAGACAGCGTGAAGGCGGCTGTTTTTGGTCTTTGGTTTTTGCGAACTTTTTGGGTTTTTGTTTTTTGTCTGCCGTTAGGAAAGCGATGCGAAAGATTCCGCGACTGCGAACTGTTACGATATTCCGAATTTTTGGCGCATTGACAATCGGCGGCCACCTTTTCGGTGGCCGAGGGTAGCAGGGGGTAGGGCGGGGAGGAAGGGAAGGAGGACTATTTCAATTCCGTTGGAAGGGGTGCGTTGTTCCTATTTTTCGGGGAGCGGGGGGTGCGGTGGGGGTAGTGGGCGCTGGAGCGGCAGCCATGATGGCTTCCTCCTCTGGTTGGACGGTGGCTAGCTCGGTCGGCCGGCCCGTGGTCAGGTCGGCGGGCGGGGGGGGCGCAGCGGGAGGCGGAGGAGGTGGGACGGGAGCGGGAGTCGGCGCATGTTCACCGCCGGTCAGCGGAGTGGTGTGTCCAAGCCTCACGGTACTGGGCTCGGGAAGCGCGTCGTCACCACTGGCTCAGCAGCACCGCCAGCTTGGCAGCCTGTTGAGGGAATCTGGTGAGTGCAGAAGAAGGTGATTCACGTTTTCCTCGTCCCTCCCTCCCTCCCTACCTCCCTCCATCTCTACCACTGCTTTCAGCTACCTGGCTCGCACCCACTCTTGAAAAAAAAAATCCTCTCCTTTCCGGTCGGCTCGCTCTCTCCGGTATTTATTTACAGTTCCCTGTCAACTGAAATTAACCAGGCTGCCCCTGAAGACGGACGAACTCACCCGTAGCACCCGAGGGCAACCTCGCTCGTCGACTGTGGCGGGTGGAATGACAGCGAGGTAGAAAGGGCGGTGCTAGCTTATGGAAATGGAAAAGGAGTGATTGGGTACGTTTGATCTCTCTCTCTCTCTCTCTCTCTCTCTCTCTCTCTCTCTCTCTCTCTCTCTCTCTCTCTCTCTCTCACCCTCTGTTCTCGGTCTCTTTCTTCGCGTATCTCTCTGTCTCTGTCTGTCTGTGCCTCAATTTGTGTCTGTCTGTCTGTTTATTTTCTGGCTCTCTCTTGGTGACTGCTCTCTCTCTCTCTCTCTCTCTCTCTCTCTCTCTCTCTCTCTCTCTCTCTCTCTCTCTCTCTCTCTCTCTCTTTTCCTCTCTCTCTCTCTCTCTCTCTCTCTCTCTCTCTCTCTCTCTCTCTTCTGCACGCGCTCTCTCGCTTGTTCGTTCGGCCGAATGATCGATCGATCCGTCCGTCCATCCAGTGTTTACCTATCCATCGGGATCGTAGATGCTGAGGACGATGACCTTATTTGAGCCTGATGATCGTAAGGGGTGAGACGATATGGCGTGCGTCCCCTGACGCGTAGTGTGTAGCATACCGTCTCTGCAGGTAGATCTCTCCGGGAACCCTGGCTGCTATATAGTCGTCTGCGGCATGCTTTTCTCTCTCCTCCCTCTCCCTTCCGTTTTTTCCCCCATTTAATAGGCCACTTCTTCTGCGATCGGTCCGCCACGTGATTACCAAGGTCCAGTCTCATTTACCTCCCTCCGTGGTGATAAGCAGACCATACTGGGAACAGAGGGGTATGGAGACTTGTTGACACGGGCGGATTGAGCGGGAGAGGATGTGGATATGGTCATTTGCAGTGTCTCCTTGTCGATGATGATAGCAGAAGAGAGTCGAGACAGCCCAACTTAACGTAGGTGATACTTCGGGGAGAAGTGCGCGCTACCAAGCTCGGTGCTCGGTGGGAAGCAGGCGAAGGTGTTGAGCTAGCTCCGTGATCTCCAGCCACATATGCATTTGAGTGGAGAAGCTGTAGGTGTGATTATGTGGCCCTGTCTTCTTCTCTCCCTCTTTCGCTCTCTCTCTCTCCCATGGATCAGCCGACATGTCTTCCTCTCTCTTTCTCTCTCTCATAGATCAGCCGACCTTCCTTCAAAACTTAGGCAGGAATGAGGCCATAGTCAAACTAGAAGAACTTTCCTACATGTAATATCTGACTGCAATTACGTCCCGACGTGGATGGATCTGACTGCAATCACGTCCAGAACTTGGTAGGAAAAAAGGTCATTGTGTGAGTTTGCCCTGATGCGATAGAAAGTAATTCGAACTCAATACATACAGTGTGTGTTCAAAGAGGCAGTAAGGGATTGTGTCTCCTCTGTTTTTTTTTTTTTTTTTTTTTTATAAATAAATTTGAACCATTTCTCGATTTATGTGTGTCATCCTTGCGCAGGGGCCATGCTAATCTTCTCTGTATCCTTCCAATTTTAACGGATGTCCCGAAGGACAGTCTCCTCTGTGTTCTAATAAGAGGCCGTTGAGTCGAAAAGCGTGGAGTTTGGGACGCAATTTGGTGTGACGTGACGTGTGCCCTACCGTCGGCACCGTAATGAGTTGTCTGTCAAAGTAATTAATCCATAATAATATAATATAGTAACAGACTATTATAGGAAGGCCGGCCTGGCGGGCGGTGATAGGCTCGCTGCGCTGTCTGTTTTTGTTCGTTTTTTTTTCCTGTGTTTTTTAAAGGTATGTTGGTCCAAGGTAGTGATTATGAGGAATGATGCCGTAGCAGGAGGGCAAACACGCAAATTACCGAGTATTTGATGAGCCATAGCTGAAATTCGCCTGCCGAGTTCTTTCGGAGTGAGGACGGGTTAAGTAATATCTCTGTGGTTGGGTCGGCAGCTTAGCTTTTCCCAAGTACGGTATCTCAGCGTTTAGCAAGTGGGGGGGAAGGGGGGGAGGAGGGAGTTGGATGGCCAGCGCGGTCTTGTGTACGTAGCCAGGGTCTGCTCGTTCTCTGCTTTGCTCTCGGTTGTCAGGAATCTGGTCGTAAGCTTCTTGCTTAGAAATCGGGAACTGGTCGGGAGTATGGACCTCGCTCCACTAGACACACTCTACATGCATTTGGACGCCTTCTAGACCTGATGCATTCGAAGTGTTGGACTCATCCTAATGCACCTGGTCCAGATTGCGTCCAGATGCATGTGGACTGTTGTCTAGTGGAGGGAGGCGCTATTGCTGTGCCAGTGGAAGTAATGAAGGCCTACCTGTAGTGAGGAAGCCCTCCATGGCAAAGATATGGGATGGTGATGCTGATTTCGTAGGGATACCTCGGTTGGGATTTGTGCTGAGAGTTTTGTTGGAGTAGGATTGTTGGCAGGCAGGCTCAGCTGCTGCATGGGACGGGAGGGCTATGAATTGTTGCTTTGCTTTGCTGTAGTAGTGGACAGGTCTGCTGTCTGGATTTACTGTATTGCCTGATGATGCTGGTCGCAAGGGCCGTCACGTGGATGATGTCTAATGATGCACTACTCTTGGGGCCGAGCTGATGATGATGATGATGATGATGATGATGATGGTGCTGATGATTAAGGGGTTGTTGTATTGACGGGCTTGTATTAATTAATATTCCTTTTGTGCTATTGCTGTGGCCGCGCAATTGGCCTTGTCGTTCGCCCCTGGTTGTTGTGCTGGGCCTAAAATCTGGGCCTGGTCAGACCGATCGGACTGGGGATCCTTGCCAGTCGCCTCGAAGCTTACAGCTGCTGCAGTCGGGAGACGAACATGCATACGCTCTGTGACGTTGCCAGGCAGAAGCTCTGGAGGTGGAGTGCTTGATAAGCCTTCCCCTGTCATCGATAAGCCGACGCCAGGCCGGGAATCGGAATTCGACTTGAGGTATGTTACGGCACGCACGCACGCAACCACTCTTTTCTTCAAACCTTCCTCTAATCGCCCGCATTACCTCTCCCTCCCTGTTCGCCCATCTCTCCTCGCTTCAACGGTTCCCGTCAATCAACTCTTCTTCCTCTATGTTCACAAATGCCGCGCGCACGTGTCTCCGTACATGTGATTGTGTGTTTGCGTTTTGGGGGATGTGTGTGTGTGTGTGAGTATGCGCGCGTGTGTGTGTGTGTGTGTGTGTGTGTGTGTGTGTGAGAGAGAGAGAGAGAGAGAGAGAGAGAGAGAGAGAGGGGGGGGGGGGGGGGGGGGGGAATTCAGGGGGTGTAGATGAACCATGAGAGTTTGAAGGTGTATTCAATAGAGGAATAACGTGGCATAGTGTACACGATCCGTCGAGTTGAACTGCCTCCAGACGAGCCGAAGCATGTCAGAGGAGGTTGGAGAAAGAAGAAACCTGCTCCAGATAAAGGGCTGGAAAAACGAGGAAAACCCTTCCCCCTCCCCCCTGCCCTCGTCCCCCTCCCCCCTCCCCCTTGAGTTAGTCCTTTCCTCCTGTCAGGTGCTACTGAATCTTCCCATCCATGCATGTGAATTGTACGCAGTCAAGAGGAAGAAGGCTCCCACAGGAAAGAAATCAACTACATAGTCACAGGTAAGAAATCAATTACGCACTGTAACTATGGATCGCCTGCATTGCTCGCCGTTAGGCATACACCACTACCGTTAGGCTCATCTGAGACTGCAATAAATATGTAGCCTTTGGTACCTCTAGTAAGTAGCTCGAGTCCACATCGACCGTTTAACCAATCCACCACAAATGAGTCGATCAGCTTGTGAGTGAGTGCAACAAGAAGCCATTACAATCACACGCGAATCCGTCGGGACTTCGACGGCCTGGCCTTCCAGTCCGCAGCTTACCTGTATGGCGGCGCTCGTGCATGGGAAGAGGACAACGGATAACGACGGTTGGACTGTTGAATTAATCAATTACTGTAATTAACCGGTGCGTATACATGTAGTCTCTTGTTGCACGACAGATCTATCTAGGAGAAGGATTGTAGGACTCGCAGGACTCCTCGATGATGGTTGAGTATCTCTTTTTAAGCCCGCTAAGAAGAAGTTGCCGATTCAAAGGATGTAATCGACTTCCTGGTTTTGGCTTTTTGCTTGTTCTGAACGGACGAACGACCATTCATCATGTGATAACTCGATCGGTGTGTGAAAGGAGGTTGATTGGGGTGGTGGTTTTGGATGGGATCCCGTTTTTGTTTTTCCGCAGTGGGGACATGTTGGAATGTGAAGCATCCGTACAACGCTTTTCCACCGCGTAGATGTTAAAAACTTGGGCTTTGGCTTCGGCATCGCCATCACTTTCATCAGTAAGTAGGTACTACGTCATTACCGCTAGATCAAAATGTGTCGTCGTCGTCAAATTTTAACCGGATGTGCCGAACGCACGTCTCCTCTTCACGTGTGATCTCGGTCGGGTTCAGATTGTCGTTCTTCGCTGTGCACTCTCTCTCTCTCTCTCTCTCTCTCTCTCTGTGAGAAGGCATTGTATACTCCCAAGGACTTTGGTGACTCTTTTGGACGTAATTGCGGTCATATGCATTCTGATCGAGCCGTAATTGTGATCAGCAGCTACAAGGAAGTCGTATTGTAAGGATGGCCTCAGTAGTACCGCTCCCGAGGGGTATTCAATTATTTTTGGTCGATTGCAGGACTGGACGAAATGTCTCTGATACTGTAATATGAATTTCCACTCCGAGTTTTCCACGATCGTCGTCTTAGCGTCTTCGACTCGGCAGTTGTTGAAAAGACTAGTGTTGAGCGGCCGCTGCTCTAATGGACATCCTTACCCCCTCCCCTCCCCCAACAGAAAAAGAAACTTGCCTAGTTCCTGGGCCAGTGACTTGGGCGAGGATAACATACATCTACCCCTATGTGCTGCAAGAGTGAAGAGGACTCTATTCCGTAAGGCGGCGGCGGCGGCGTCGCCTGGTGCGGCTTGGTCGAATTGATGACGACAAGTTTTCTCAAATGGATAGGACGCCATCAACTCTCGAGGAGTAACCCAAATCCTTTTTGGTTGATTGCTTCCGTTCTCTCCATGCTTTCTCCTCTCGTTTCATCAGTTTCCATGGCCCACGCCTTAGTCTGTCGAAAGGAGTTGATTCTTTTTCCTTAGATTTTGCGAGGAGATGAAGCCTGAGTCGAGCCGAGCCCGAGCCCGAGCCTGAGCCTGAGCCCGAGCCCGAGCCTCAGCCTGAGCCCGAGCCCGAGCCCCAGCCTAGCCTAGCCGCGCCGAGCCCGAGCCCGAGCCCGAGCCCGAGCGCGAGCCTGAGAGAAATAGCTAGCGTAGCGTTCTCATTCCTCCTCCCTTGTGTGATGGGTACGGGTGTGAAAAAGGGAGGAGGGGGGGGGGGGGGGGGGGGGGGGGGGGGGGGGGGGAGGGGGAGGGAGAAGATGGGTGCAGAAGAGCACGCGCGTTGATCGGGTGAGGCGAGCTTTGGCCCTCTCAAGGTGCGCACACATTTGACTACCTACCGTGGCATGCAGGTCAGTGCCACGTCACTTCCGCTGTCGCTAGCCTAATCCGCACTGGAAGTCGACTGCCGGTAATGGGCCGCGCTCCACTACTCGGGACATGCACAAACGACAAAAATCATGACGGTGTATCTTTCCATGTTCTAGCGGAAGATTCACTCTCGTTTTGCACATTTCGAGAGTAGCGGAGCGACGGCCAATCTCCGTGGACTGGGCATATGTTTCTTCTCAACAAGTGAATCTTGCACGCTGGGTCTCGAAGCGGTTCTACCGTCTTTTTGCCTTTTTTCGAAAGGGCGACGGCCTTGAGATATCATCATCGTTGAACTGACCGGCCCAGGCAATTCAGAACGATTTTATTATTCGGATCGTCGGGTGGCGTCTGGATTCGAACGCAGGGCTGCGTTTCAACAGTTCAGGGGTGCACCAAGTGAGCTACGGGTAGGCCCATTAACTACCGTCTTTGTCCTTTTTGGAAAAACTACACCAAAAAAAAAAAAAAAAAGAAAAAAAAAAAGAAAAGAACTACACCATGTTCTTCTCTCAAGTTCTTTTTGTCTTTCACTACCTTCCTACCACTACTCCTAAGACTATATATATGTATAGAGAGAGAGGGGACCCCTGCAAGCATAGGGCCTCGCAAACGAGGTAAATCGTGTTGTTGCTGTTGCCCTCCTCCCCCCAACAGCGCTAGTCAGAGATGGGGAGGTTCCGCCGGCGGGGGGGGTCTGGCTAACGCAAAGACCGAGCATTTTGCCAGTAGCTGGGCCTCCCTTTCTCATCGTCCTGCACCCCTCATGGAGTAGCAGCAGAGGCTATGGCCAACACTCTCCCACACACCACACAGAACCCACTCGTTCTCGCACGCCCACCCGTGTTGGTCATAGACCCCGGGATCTACTGTCTTCCCCCTCCCCCCCCTGAGGGCATAGTCGCACTGCTGCTCCGAATTTGCAAAATGTGTGGATTTGGGAAGGGTCGATTTGAGGTTTTGGGGATGGTTCGGTCACACTGGTGTACCTTTTCGGATGGGACAAGGCCGTGGCCGTCTGGAGAAATGGCTATTTGGTACTTCGCTGCTAGTCACATGGCGCCATCCACAAATTGTGCAAGAACTTTTGTGAATGAAATTTCACCAATTTCTGAAGAAAATGCTAAAAAACAAATAGGGCATTTGCGGTCATCTCCAGAGGTGACCACAAATTCCCTTGCCCCATGGCTACCCATGCCGTTGACAGATTGGCATGCAAATAGTACATTTAGGACTTTGGCAAATCTGTGTGATCGGCCCTTTACCTTTTTTGGGGGGGAATTTGGGATTATAGGTCCCAGTGTGAGTAGGCCCAAAGGCCTGGAAGGTCGTCCTGCTCAGATTCGACAGGTAATTGAATTGGTTAGGCTTAAAGAATTAGCCTTTAAAAAAAAAAAAAAAGGAAAAAGAAAGGGGCCGTACTTACACTACCGTTGGACCTTTTTTTTGTTTTCTATTTCCCTTTTTTTCAGCTGCGCCCTGGACGTGGTTACAGTCAGATTGATCCAGGTCTTAGGCCTGATTGCAGTTGGATGCATTCAGAAAAGCGCTACCGGTAGTGTGAACTGGACGTTGGACCCGTTCTCCAGCAGGTGGAGAGGGGGAAGGACTAGTTTGTTGGAGTAGGTATCAGGCGCCCTCTTCAGGGTGAAGAGGTTTACTCTCCCTCCCAATAGCCTGCTCAGTAAATCCCCTGGATTCTGGGGTAATCAATGCTTGTACAGGGGACGCTGGACCCGTTTTCCAGCAGGTGATGCTCCCCACCAATAGATGGAGCTGCTCCCCAGGTGCTAGTGGTGTCTGCTCTTACCAGCACCACTAGCCCTGGCGAGGGTGTTTGTTTCAAAAAAAAAAAAAAAAAAAAGGCATGCCCACACTGCGGCCTCGCTCTACTATACAACACTATATGCATCTGGACCTCGTGACAGTCCGGATGCATTCCAAATATTGGACTCCTCCAAACGCACCTAGTCCAGAAAGGGAAGGGAAGGGGTCCCAATGCATATAGCGTGTTGAGCAGTGGAACTCCTCCAAACGCACCTAGTCCAGAAAGGGGTCCCAATGCATATAGCGTGTTGAGCAGTGGAGCGAGGCCCTAAGTGTATCGGACCAAGTGCGAGTACGGCCAGACGTGGACGCATCTCACAGCAATCACGTCCAGAGCTGAGTCGACGGCCAGACGTGGACGCATCTCACAGCAATCACGTCCAGAGCTGAGTCGAAGAAGTTGAGTATGGGCCTCGCTCCACTACTTTCAAAATGTGCAAAACGAGAGTGAATCTTCCGCTAGAATATGAAAAGATACACTGCCATGATTTTTGTCTTTTGTGCATGTCGAGAGTAGTGGAGCGAGGCCCTATGTCCTGAGTATGGCCTGGAAAGCATAACGGGTCTGGGGACTCACTGTCACAACAGGTGAGAGTGGGAGGGACTTCTCATCAGCCCTTGCCTGTTTTTTGAGGAGAGGGTCAGGTCCATTTTTTTTTCTCCACTCAGCGAGTGCCCGATTCGACCCAGTAGTGAAATAGCAAACCTACCCCGTGGGCTGGGGAGAGATCCGGGTTGGTTGGTGTTCCCCCCTACTATACATCGGCCCTCGCCTCACCACTGTCGAAAGGCAAAAAAATTTGACGGCTGTCAGAACAAATTCGACAGCCTCCATTCAACAGTTTGCCCCCCTTTAGCCACACAGCACTGTAGAGTGGACGCACTTGTGAAAGCAAGATGGAAAAAGACGAACGCGCCTGAGGGTACGACAAGCATTAGTCCACCCCGACCTTACCCCCACTCACCAAATTTCAAAGAGAAGTCGATGGCGCAGCCGAGGACTGTCGAAAGCATTGTCTTAGCAGGCTGGGTGGGTATTCAACAACGAAGCCGAGTGGGGATTCAACGACTTTTGGCTGGAGGTGTCGAGAAGCATTCTCTGACAACTGGCGAATTTTCTTCCCGTCTCCGACTTTGACAGCCTGTGTGGCGAAGAGAAACTATCGAAAATTGCATTTTCGACAGTGGTGTGGCGAGGCCCATAGACTAGTGAGAGGATGAGATAGATGCGTACTACCAAGAAGATGAGATAAATGAGAGAAGAATATAGCTTACTTTTAGAAGGAAAAAAAAGGGAAAAAAAAGAGCCTTGCTCCACTACTCTCCACATGCACAAAAGACAAAAATCCTGGCTGTGTATCTTTCCATGTTCTAGCGGCATATTCGCTCATGTTTTTCACATTTCGATAGTAGTGGAACGAGGCCCATATAGTTGGTGGGGCTACGGCGTGGCAACGCCCAGCATCACATGGATTTAGAGGCTTGCCACACAGGCTGTCGAAAACCAGGTTTTCAACAATTTTGCATCGCCACACAGACTTTCGAAGAATTGCAGCTCAAAATTTTTTTGACAGGTGTCAGAATGGTACGCTTGACAGCCACCCTCCCCCATTCGTTTCCTCCCGCGTGCAGGAGACGGAATTCGAAAGTGCCCCACCTGCCTTTTGAGAATTGCATTTGAATTTGCATTGTCAGGGACTATTCTGTGACACCCGTGCCCTGTCGAAAGGCGGAATCCATTTGGCCATGCCCAAAAACCTTGCCCCTCGACAGCCTGTGTGGCGAAGGGGGGGGGAAACTGTCTACCGCCGACTTTCAATTTTTTTTCTGACAGCTGTCAAAACTCAAAGAGTTGAGTTTTGACAGCCTGTGTGGCAAGCCTCTTACTCAATAGCGTTTACCTCACTCGATGGAGTTTCCAAGATGTATCTGACCGCAACTACAGCGCGTCCAGGATGTACCTGGCCGCGATTACGTCCCACCGGAGTTATTACTTTTGCAACAACAGCGCGTCCAGGATGTACCTGGCCGCGATTACGTCCCACCAGAGTTATTACTTTTGCATCGCCGGTATGGAACGATTCCCGTGGATTGTAATCAGCTGCTGGGTAATGAGGGCGGGCCTCGGTGGCTTGTCATGGCCCGCAATCCATCCATCCATCCAGAGGAGATTTTCCCGTCGATCAAATGCTTGGACTTCTCGATTTGTGCGTGTCATTGTTGCCCAGGGGCCATGCTAATCTTCTCTGTATCGGTCCAATTTCAACGGATTTCCCGAAGGACAACGCGATGCTTTTAGGATGGTACTCCTCATTCCCTCTTTGATGGAAGTTTTCGCCAGAAAACGGTACTCCCAGGGAATCGGTCCCTAAGGAAACCCCGAAAGACGGCGCGGATGAGTACTAGAAAGTGACGGAATTTGAATTAAGCTAGCGCTACTGAACAAAACAAAATTGGATGATCGGACAGGGCCTCGATTTCCGGGAATACTCACAGGAGACAGTGAATTTTCTTCGTTTCGCAGGACTAGGCTTTCAGGGAGGGACAGAACTGACCTGGCTGAGAGAGAGTGTTCGGGTCCTGGAAAGTACTTCATTCTAGAATCGCGACACCCTCTACTTTTTTGCAGAGGAATCTCGTTAAACTGCAAGTACAGGGCCCCAGCCTTGCAGAAAGATTTTTTGTCGCCACAAGCAGAACTCCGAAGTGGTGCAGGTTTCATGCTGACACCCGCTGGCCTATGTATGGTGTACTGGTGCTTTAAACTTGACGTTCAAGATGGGGTCGAGACCTGATGGCTAGATTTTTGCTTCGGGCTCTCACTTGCACGTTGTTCCCTGAATCTCTGCCGAGTCAGTCGGAATATCATCGAAAAGAGCGGTGAGTGGAGTCTGAAAATTTTTAACGCCAATGCCGGATTTTTTTACCTTATGAATGGGGAAATCGGCAGACAAGGACTGTGAATTACAAGCCTTGTTACATGTCCGGGTTGATTGCCATGCCAAGGGGAGGGGTCTCGCCACAATACTCATGAACCGCCAGTACACGGCCCCAGCCTTGCTGAAAAGAAAACTCGTCGCCTACGAAGATTTCGGAGGCCCAGCGCCGTAGATAAATTGAATCGGTGGCGGGTGGCCTCCGAAAAGGGCCCGGGATGTACTGGTGGTTTAGCATAGTAGGGGATGCATCTGGCCACCTGTGCGAAGATGCATTTGACCCCAACGACTCCGTTCCCTGCCCATACGGTGGTATTGAATCGGGCCTACCTTCCTCATGGCGGGCAATTCATCCAGTGGAGACTTCCGGCAAGGGGAAAGCCTCACCTCGCTTTTCGTTTTTTTCGTTCGCTCGTTCGCTCGTCTCCTCAGTTCAGTTCAGCAAGAGCACGCAGGTGTCCCCTGGATAGGCTTAGGAGTAGTGGTAGGTATACAGGCTTAGGAGAAGTGGTAGGGAGGTAGTGAAAGGTGAATTTGAAAAAAAAAGGGCCTCGCTCCATTATGCAACACTCTAAAGACCAGGTTTATTGGATGAGTTCAACATTTTGAATGTATTGGGGCGAGAGTGTGTCAAAATGCAGACCAGGTTTATTGAACGAGTTCAACATAATTTTGAATGTATTGGCCCCAGAAGCGTTCAAATGCATGCAGAGTCTTGTGTAGTGGAGCGAGGCTCAAGAGCACGGTCTTTCACTTCGACGTCTACTGTGCAGGTCCACGGCCAGAGATCCCCCTCGTTTGTTGTCCTCTTCTCCCTCTCTGCCTATGGTTTACGGGCCGGCTCTGTTTGACGATATATATATATATATTCTCTCTCTCTGCCTATGGTTTACCGGGCAGTTCTGTTTGTGACGATATATATATATGACGATATATACGATATATGTATATATATTTTATGTGGGACCGGTCTCGTTTGTTGTCCTGTTCTCCCTCTCTGCCTACGGTTTACCGGGAAGTTCTGTTTGACGGCGTATTATTCCACGTTCTAGGAGAAGATTCATTCTAATTTTGCACATTTGGTGAGTAGTGCAGCCAAGCCCTGAGAATCACGTGCAGAGACCAATAGGGCCTAGCTAAGTGAGCAACCCATAACTGCTGAAACACAGACCTGAATTCGAACCCTGAGTATATATTCGGCCAGCTCGTGCTTCACTTCATATTCATGGCCTGCCTCGATTTTGGTGGAGGGTCGGCGCTTAATTTGTGAGGACCCTTCAGATTACCTGCATGGGCCCTCTGATACGGGTGAAGGGGATCTGTTTCTCTCTCTCTCTCTCTCTCTCTCTCTCTCTCTCTCTCTCTCTCTCTCTCTCTCTCTCTCTCTCTCTCTCTCTCT